ATGTATGTATATATATACATATGTATACATATGTATACATATGTATACATATATATGTATACATATATATATACATATATATTTATATATATGTATTTGTATACATATATATATATATATATATATATATATATATATATATATATGTATGTATATAAAAGCGTGTGTGTACGTGTATATGTATGTATGTATGTATGTATATATATATATATATATAGATAAATCCAATATATCAAACAAGTCATAGGTTCATACACAGTAGGATATATATGCTTGAATGATCCAAAAGTATGAGGAATATCATCAAATATTAGTTTAAAAAAAAAGAAACACGTTACAGATATATGAAGTGCTCAAGAGAGTATCAGATGCTACTCATTCATAAACTCATGGATATTGAAGTAAACATGAGAATTATCATTTTGAAACAAATCAAATTACTGCTCTTTGCAACTGTGTACATTGCTGCGATGTTGGTAAGAGCTAAACTCATCCACGAGTGTGTTTCAACAGTCAAATGCTGTATTCGTTTTCTAGATACTGATCCATTACATTTGATTGAAAAAAGTAACTCAGAAGGAGTAAGAACAAATGTAACTGTAAAAGCAGATTAAAACTAAATGTGGATAGAAACATAATGACATGTTACCTGTGTCATCATCATCTTCTGAAGGCAAGCCATTACACCTTATTGCTGTGCCCCATTGCATCCTATAACATGAGTTAAGCTCAAGAACAGGCTTCTTGCTCCAGTCCCCCATGAGCCTTGGATTCAAATGCAGGATCTTTGGTGGGTCCTCGCCATCAACCACTCTCAGTCCCTGTAATTCAACAACAAATTGCGAGACCCATGTAGTTCCACTTCCATCCCCCTGCCTCAACCTTGCCAACTTTGTGACATGCTCCTCATGGGCCTCCTGAGGCTTGCCGACGACTGTAATCGAAGAGCCTGCCGCAAGGCCACATGGAAGAAAGACTCGTAGCTCTGCGTCAGAGCCCATCTCGGTTGAACTCTTTGCCAGCGATGACCGGCAAGACTCCAGCTTTCCTTCGATCATAGACAGTTGATCCGTGCTGCTCATAGGATCATAATTCTTCACATCATCCCAAGCCTTCTGGCCTAGCACCCATGCCTCATTGATCATAGCCTGAAGCTGAGTCAAGTTGCCTATAGATTTATGCCCAAACCAACGCTGAAATGGCTTGATCGGTGGAAATCTAAGGGAAGGCTGCTCCTTTTCGAGGGCAGGAGGGAGGTTCCGGCTATCCTCCAGTCTCCGGTAGAAGGTATCATGGTCGACCAAGACAGGGGTCCTATGGCCGAGGTGGAGGTGGCGAGATGTAAGGTCATTGACCGGCCGGTCGAGCCCAGAGAAGCTGCCGTCGCCGCTCAACGCATTGGCGATCTCGAGAAAATGATGGAATTTGAAGGAAACAAAGACTAAGTAGATTAATCCAATGGCAAGAACAGGATGCGAAGGCCTCCACCTCCTCGTCCCAGAGGATTCAATGCTTCTCCCCTTCATAATATTTTCGCCACCAAATTGGAAGAGCAAGAAAGATCAAATTCCCATCAAAAAGAGGGAGTCATCTACATATACAAATCTGACATTTCTCCTTCGATATTTTAACAATGTCATCAACGTCTCCGTGAGCTATAGATCCGATCGACCTCAAGGCTGCAAAAAAGATATCGTGCTTCACAAAAATGCTAGTGTTGGAGCCCAATGTAGTGGCAAGCCGGACGAAATTTCCCCTCGGCTACTTCGATCTGCGACGGAGACTGAACAGCGGTGTAACCGGACGAGAATGGCGATCGATCGATAACGAATACCGCTGCGTACTCCGGAGCGGTGATCCAAGAAAGGGCCCTAAAGGTAGATTTAAACGGCAGGAGGAGGCGGAGTTCTGATCCAGTTATCGGACGGTCCAAAAGCTATCTGATATGGAAGGTCAAGAGACCCCACCGACACTTGTGGGGACCAACGTACCGGTCTTGACAATTTTTTATTACAAATTAAATTTATCCTAAAAGCACCCCTCTTTTCATAATTTATTTGGGTGCTTAAGATGAAAAATTGACAAATATCTTTTATTCTTTAAGGATTATTATTTTTTTTTATAAGATTTGAATGTGAATATTTCCAAATTCGATTTGAAAATATTTAAAAATATATAAACATGAAAGACCAATAGAATCACTATTTATATCATATTTATCTATCATGTTAGAAGATAGAGGTGAGTTTGACGAGCGTCATGATATTATACTTGTAATATTCGATTTACATGATCGATTTATAAATATATCAAATATGATTTACGAAAATCATAGAATCATCTAACTGTAGAATCACTATGTATGTAATATTTGTCAGATGTGATAAAAATATTAAGATGAATTTGACGAACTAAATATTATCTTTTTTTTAATAAATAAAAACATCTATTTAGATTTAAAGGTTTATAACAAATGAAATGGGTAAACCATTAGCTCCTGCCCCAAATATATATATATATATATATAAAGATATCTACCTAAACTAGCATGACTATAAGGTATGGAAACTATAACCAATCTAATGTCTTAGATAAGTTTAAAATTCTCTAACAATAGGGCATTTAAAAAGAATATAGACACAAAGTTAGAATGTATTTGATAGATTAATAATAATCTACTTGGCTATGCAAAATAGAAGAGATCCGACTTAAAAGTAGGAAGTCTTTAGTAAACTAGAGAAGTCTTTTGGTAAACTAAAGTGTGATACAAAAGTTTGATGAGAAGTTTATTAATATGTTTCTTATTTATATAGGTTAGGAGAGAGGATTTTCCTTAACAGAGTAGTGAGATTTCCTCATGTAATTGGAAAAATCTTATCTGCTATTATGCCCCCGTAAGATGGTACTCCTGTCAAGAATGTCGATCTTAGATCGATACAATAAAAATAGTTTACGGGTGAGAGGTTTCGTGAGTGAGTCTGCTAGTTGATCAGTCATATGTATGTAAGAAACATATAGTCGATGTTGGACAACTTGATCTCGCACGAAGTGGAAATCAATGACAATATGTTTTATGCGGGAGTGAAACATTGGTTGGTGCATATAGCTCCAACATTATCATAATATATTATAGAAGTAAAAGTGGACTTGATGTTAAGTTCCTTGAGTATATTCGTGACTTAATTGAGTTCCGCAGTAGTGGTGGCGATAGCATGGTATTCAGCTTCAGTTATAGACCATGCGATTATCTTTTACTTCTTAGAACTCCAACTATTTGGATTAGCTCCAAGGAAGATTATACCATAACGTGAATATTATATCATAAAAGTTTCCTGTCCAATCAACATTGGTAAAGACATGGAGATGAAGTAGAGAGTGTTTACGGAGAAAGAAACCATGACTAAGGGTCCATTTACGATATAGCAAGATTCGTTTGACTACATATCAATACGTAGTAGATAGCCGATGCATGAATTGTGATAATTTATTGATCACAAATGAGATGTTTAGACGGGTGAGAGCTAAGTACTGTAAGGAGTTAACAAGTTGTTGATATTGAGTGGGTTTTGTAGTAGGACTTCCATCACATAATTTGAGTGATTTACTACTAGTAACGAGGGGAGTTATAACCTTTTTTGTGTCATGCATGTTTGTCTTTGATAAAATCTTGAATATACTTTCTATGTGATAGAAAGAGACATGAAGATGTATATATTGCTTCCACTCCTAGAAAATAGCTCAAGATTCCTAGATCTTTGAGGGGGAATCTGTTAGGACCAAAATCAGCACAAAGAGGGAGGGCGAATTAGTGCTTTCGATAAAAATATTGGTTTTGAAAAATCTTCGCTCGACGAAAATAATAATGAAAGCGTGCTTGACTTAGAGTAAGTGAACTAAGTAATTAACTCAGAATGTAATAACAATGAAACACAGAAAGAAAGTGCAAACTGGATTTATAGTGGTTCGGTCATTGTGACATATGTCCACTTCTAATTCCTCTTCCATTAAGGCCACCTGCGATCACTACTAGTCTTCCTTCAATGGGCAAAAATCAACTACTCTCTTACAACTCTTTCTCCTTTTTACAAGTTTAGGAGACAACCTTTACAAGTCTCACACCTCTCTTAGAATGATCAAAAATCTAAAGAAGGAGGAGCACTTAACACTATTTCAAGACTTTTACAACTCAAAATCTCAAGACTTTTATTCACACTTTTCGTGCTCTTTCATACTGGAAAGAGTGAGATATTTATAGACCCCAATGACTTCAAAAATGAAGCCAAAAAGTGTCTTATCCTATGTTTTTAGGGTACTGGCGGTACCACAGCCAGTACTGAGCAGTACCACCACTTGTAAACTAACATTGGACGGTACCACCGCTTGACAAAGCCTCAGAGACTAGGCTATGGCGGTACCACTACTTGACAGCATTAACTGTCGACACTACTACTATCCAGACTGCTTGGGAGACCGAGCCTCAAGCGGTTCCACCGCTAGTCCTAGTGGTGTCATCGCTTGATGTGACTCCGGATCATTGAATGGGCCATCCATTTGGCCCAATTCAGCCTTGATTTGGGCCCAATTGGCTCCTATTTGAGTTAATAAGATTTTTCCTAAAATTAACTCAAATTGAAACCCTAACTACGATAATTAATGCTAAACAATTGCAATGCAAGCAATTCTAGTTGTCTGACACATCAATTATTCATCTGAACTCCTAGCAAAACTTTCGACGTACTCTCGGTGATCTTCCGGCAAACTCTCGGCGAGCTTCTGACGCATCGTCCGAACCTTCGACATATCCCCCGATTCTTCTGGCTCGATGCCCGATCTTTGACTCCGGCCCAATATTTGATTCTTCTTTAATTGTTTTATCTTTTCACGATCGTAGTTAGTCCTGCATCACTTTTCTCAACATATGGATTAGATCATTAATTCATCAATTGATTTTATCATCAAAATCTGAGATTCAATAATCTCTCCCTTTTTGATAATGATAACTAATTGATGACGGAGTTAATCTTAACTCCCCCTATCTATATGACACATTGAGATAAGGCAAACTTGTATTTAAAATGAATCATAACTTTTGAATTCAAGTGAAACAATTTTGGATCATAGTGATCAAATGCAATATATCATATCAAAATTTCATACATTATGCATCATAATAGTATCAAAATGTAACATGCACAATTTTAAAATATTACAATACATTATCACTTCATGTATGATACCAAAAATAAATCAACATCACTTTGGGCATACATGATACTAAAACATTAAAATTTTAATCATTTATCACTTCATTCATGATACCAAAATTAACATTATTTTGGGCATGATACCATTCATCATTTCATGATACCAAATATTCATTATTTCTCCCCTTTTGTCATCAATAAAAAGGAGAATATTTAACAAATATTTGGACCATGTATGCAAGTTTTATTTCACTTTAGAAGATGCAAGCTAGCAAGTGAAGTTGAGCAAAATAGCAACTTTTGAGATATGCAAGATAGCAACTTTTGTGTAAGTACTTTTGATTCTCTTGAGATGTGCAAGTACTTTTGATTCTCTTGAGATATGTAAGCTAGCATTTTTGCTTTCTCCCCTTTATCATAAAAATGAGAAGAAGAAGGGAGTAATTCATTCATCACATAAAGAAAAGAATCAATTCATAAGTTCAGAAAGTCCATGAATGAAAGTTCTACTTTCATGAATAGAAAGAGGAAGGAATCATAGGAAATAATTATCACATAAAAGATCAAGTATACCAAAAGTCCATGAATCAAATCTCTTCTTTTGTACATTGCAATAAGAATGAATGATAGGAAACGATCTCAATTTAAAAAGAAAACTCAAGTTATAAAAATTAAAAAATCCAAAAAATGTATAAGAGGAACTCATGCATTAAGAAGGCTTAATATGCCTAATTCTCTTCTAATAAAATAAAATTATTCTTCATTTAATGATTTTATGAAAATATCAACTAATTGATGTTTTATATCAATAAATTCTAAAGATATATCATGGTTATTAACATGATCTCTAATAAAATGATACTTAATGTCAATATGTTTAGTTCTAGAATATTAAATGAGATTTTTTTGTTAAATATATTATACTAGTATTATCGTATTTTATAGAAATATTTTTTAAATATAGTCTATAATCTTCTAAAGTGGTTTTCATCCAAATAACTTGTGCACAACATGCACCTGCTACTATATATTTAGCCTCGACTATAGATAATGTAACCAAATTTTATTTCTTGGGCGATCAAGAAATAAATGAATGACTTAAGTGCTGACATGTTCTAGATGTGCTTTTTCTATCTATTATATATTAAGCAAAATCAACATCATCATAAGCAATCAATTCAAGATTTTTAGTTTTTAGATACCATAATCATAGATTAAGTGTTCCTTTTAGGTATCTAAAAATCCTTTTAACAACTTTTAAGTGAGACTACTTGGGATTAGATTGAAATCTAGCACATAGTCCAACAATAAACATAATATCAGGTTTAGTTGCTGTGAGGTATAGTAAACTACATGTCATACCCTTATAAGTTTTTTGATCAAAACATTCTCCATTAATGTCCATATCTAATTTTGTAAAAGTGCTAACTGGTGTATTAATAGCCTTAGCACTATATATATTAAATCATTTTAATAGATCTAATGCATACTTAGTTTAACTAACTAAAGTTTCATCACTAAGTTGTTTGATTTGTAAACCTAAGAAAAATGTTAATTCTCTTATTAAACTCATTTCGAAATATTAGCTTATAATATTAGTAAAAGATTCACATAAAGACTCGTTTAAAGAT